TCTGTTCTAAGAGCCACGTCACAAAGATCTGTGGAAGGTAATTTCGACAGAAAGAGTAGATGAGTAACCAGCGTCACGATCTGGCCTGCACCCATTAGGTAAACCCCAGAGCCGGCTCATATGCTGTAGCGAAGAGAAAAATTAATGTCCTTGTCAGGAATCGAACCCCAGTCGTCAAGCCAGGAACCTGCCAGTGCACAGATCGAGCTCCTTACAGCCTGTACGATATTTAAGTAAGATTTGAGGTTTTCACGACGGTCTCCAAGGATGGATGTTTTCTGGGTTGCAGCTCCGTATATAAATTCTAGAATTGCTTCATCAATGCGATGAGTACCCACAACCACGCGGCGCTATAACCCAGAAGACATCCATCTTTCGAAGCAGCAGCCAGTCTTTATATATCGTTGTTCATGAGTCTGAAGGAGATACAGAAGTATTAACGATTTTGCAAGAAACAGCCTTAAAGGGAATAATCAGCGCCACAAATCTGTTTCTAGATTTGATTATTATATTTCAACACGACTACTGCGACCAAATTATTACACCTACAAACTTATATGGATAAAAACTTAATCCAAATGCTAATTCATGACATTCCTAAGAATTACCCAGTTCTTTGTACACAAACCTTCCTGGATAATGAGAACAAAATATTAACTTATAAAGTTATACTTTCCATTTGTATTACCTCTTACACAGAGAAGGGCTAATATATCTGGTTTAATAAAAAAACGTTTTATTTAGTTTTCCATTTAAAAAGTAATATTTGTGGCTACAGTAATCGAGCACTTCCATTACATATAATATACTACAGAGTTAATAAAAATTAGTATTTGCGTGGCAAATACAGTATACTACAAAAATTCTGAAGCTGACAGAAAAATATTTCAGAAACATGTTGCTGATGCATGTACGATCAAAATGTAATAAAATATTAGTGCATTATATCCGCATGCAACATATAAATAAGGTAATACTCGAATGCAAAGACGTATCTGGCAAGCATTTCTCTTGCGATGAACAGCTCGATTTCCCTTTCCGTGTACAAGTTAACGAATCCAATTTGACAAACATAATTTTACATTCGTTTTAACTCAAACTTCTCGGGGCCAGATACATTTTCAGACAAATGCAGGATTACATTAAACCCAAGTCCTACTTCTGACACGTTTTTCTGCGTATTTGCAGCCAGGCCTTCGTCTGTCAACGGCGTTTAGTTTCAAACTTGTCCTTTCATCTATCCACAATTTCAACCAAAATATCTCTACGTCTGTACTAACAGGGATCTCATTATTTGTGTTTGTTTATTAAGCTCTTGTAAATTGCCTTTTCATTTCTGCAAAACTGAATATTCATTTGTTTATAGGTAGCGCTGTCTGCGTGGTTCCCTTTGATGACGCTTGTCGGGCGCCATCACACTTTGTTCCTGATTGCCTCTTGTTTGCTTGAGACTTTCATTATTGGCGAGTTTATCTTCGTATTTCCTTCAAAATGTGTCTGATCTGTCGTCACTAAAATATTTTCTTAGCTATCCAGTGTTCTCCTGACGTCTGCATTTGTATTTTCCAACCATCGTCGCCATGGCAGAGTAAATTTCTGCGTCATGG